GTCCCTACACCGAGTCTTCTGCAGCAAGTTCTCCAGCCCTACCTTGGTTTTAGGGTTGCTGTCATCTCGGTTATTGCTTGCTTACACATCCTTTGTGAGCAGCTTCTCTGATGCTGAGCCAGAGCACCCCGATTGCTGGGGAGATGTGAAAGGGTAACAATCTCATTTCCATAGTAACAGGTTTGTTACCACGCTGGCTGCTGCTCACGGGAGATTGCTCCATTCTTCGCAGCAGCTCTGCCAGCAGGAAATTGTACTTACATTGATAAATTAAAATCAGATTTAAGTGCATATTCACAGAACTCTTCTTAACCCTCAGCACTTGGCCTAACTTTGCATTATAAAATAGTGTGGTATTCAAAACATAGACTGGCCCATGGATACTGTGTGCCCCTCCAGCCGCCCCCATAGTCCACCTGGAGCAGATGGCTATTGAGTAACACAGCCTTGATGTCTGCAGTTCTCTGAGAGGCACTGACTTCTGTACATCTGCTAGCAAACTGACGAGAATTTCCTGCGCATGGGTGAGACACATATTTCTTTACCATTCCCTGTTGTAAAAACGGGAAAGAGGAGGTTCAAACCAATAGCCTCTGTTCAGATGAGCCAGGAACATGCCCTTGCTGGAACTGAGAGGCCTCTTGGGTAGTTGTCTCAATGCTTTGGGCAGCACCCCATCAGCGCCCAAAGGTGTCTGATGTTGAGTTTGATGGCCTTGATGGCTGCAAGCTTTGCTGCGTGAGAACGGCTCCAGTGAATGCAGGAGACCTGCTGGGCTTCCCGGTATGTAAAAATAGAGGTTGTGGACTCAGGTAACCAGCTCCTCTCTTGGGGAAGGTAACCCGCAAGGCTGCAAAGCCTCTTCTTCATGCTGAGGTCTCATGTCGGTGTGGGATGGGAGTGCAGATGGCAGAGGCTTGGCCCTGCTCCTGCCCACGTGGAACAAGACCATGCCAAAGAGCTGTGGTCTCGGTAAGCCTGCATGTGAGGTGTGAGTGCATGTGCCCTTCCCCAGCCTGTCTGCCATCCTGAAACCCAGGACAGTAAAGAACTAGCCAGACCTGAACTCCTCTCTGCAGCCTTCAGTTGGAGCAGGACTGATGCCAGGCTGCTCCCATGGGAGCCAGGGAGCGGGACAATATGGTCACAGGCTGGGAGCTTAGGGTGGGAAACCGTTCTGACTACACAGACAAGGAGGAGGAAGAATAAATAAAAGAGGAAATGAAGCTGGATGTTCGGAAACCACAGATTCCCACCAATTCCTTTTCAACCTTTCAGAAACATTTCAGAGCCAGCCCTGAGCCTGTCATGTACTGAAGAGGAAGAAAGCCAGCCACTTTGAGGAGCCACAAAGCACAACTGCAGGGCAAAGTGCCTTGAGGATAGCTCTTGAGAGCAACTCTGGGGTGCCTTCCGCAGTTCTCTCTTGGTGAACTGCAAGCCTGACCTCCCCGATCCACATCCCTCTACCTAGAGTCAATATACTTCCAGGGACCAGTTTAGGTTTTGACAGCTTGACATTTTCCAGGGAAGAAAATAACATTTCATCCTAAAAAAACAGAATTCAGTCTGATGTTAAATATAATGAAATACATTGAAAGCTGGAGATTGTTGTGCTCTGCTCTTGCTCTCTTCAGGAAGCTCTCACTTGTCCCTTTGTTCTCATGGTCAGAATGCTTCAAATACTATTTTCTAAATACTAGTGCTGCTACAAAGAGATTTCTGATTTCCTTAGTACCTCCTTGCCCTTATTGATACATGTTATTTATTCAGAGAGAGTTAAGTAAAGCTCTTTTACACTTGTTTTCCCGGCAAAGATGACCATTTGCTGCTTTCCCCATGTGCTGTCCTACTCCCTGCACACCCCCTAATCTGGTAACTGTTACTGATGGTGAAGACGCGCATTTCCTGTCATGTACCAAGGGGCACCTGGGGTTTTAGAGCTACCCAGCAAACTGGCCTATTCGACAAGCTAATAGCACTCATTGTGCCTAAAAGGTATGGTTGTCCCAGCTCACATGCAAGTGCCTGCTAGGGTGTGTCTACAGACCAGGGGCTGCGGGAGGGCCAAGGTATCACCAGTAAGTACCGTGTGCTCAATGCTGACTGCATTTCCTCCCCTGGAGGAAAGCATTAGTTTTGGTTGCCATGTCCCTACCTGTATCCCATGTGGGTTTAGAGGATGTCTTAAACCTCCTGGCTACAAAACATGGGATTTCTTCATCGCTACCCAGTTCAGAGTTGGTACACCCAGCATGTTTCCAAAACAAATCAGTGAAGACCCTGTAGCTTGGGTCTGGCATTGGAAGATGCTGCAGACAACCAGTCTGCAAAGAAATATGCTTGTATAGTCCTTGCTGCATAAGAATAAGCCTAGAAACATAGACTCCTTTGTTAGATCTAATCACCGCATTAGACTGATGCTGTCCTCCACTAGAAACACACTTTAAATCTCTGAGATGGTATTTTAAGCAGGAGAGTGGGTCAGTGACTTTGCCTCCTCACTGAACTCCGTGCTTCACAGCTAGGACATAATTGTTATTAAACTGGGCTAAGAGAAATAGGCCTCCTGATAGGTTAAATCTCAGTAACACTTCCACAGAAAACAGAGTAGGAATATTAATCCTGGTCCCATTCAATTAACTTTAAATAGTTTAACTGAAACACGGAGAAGTGTTTTGGTTTTCTTTTTTTTTTTTTTTAATTAGCAAATGCTCTCAGGATGAAGTACATATTACCAGGTTCTAATGATTTCTTTTTCCTAGTTTTAAAGCTCCCAGGTCTTGACAACAGGCTCCAGGTCTGATCCCAATCAAAGTGAATATATAAACAGATCTACAACATCTTGACCTTAGATGCGAGTCTTGCGGGAGCTTCTCAGAGACTGAACTAGCAAGTTTTAATTAGAGCTAAAGCTGGGATTTCCCATTTGGGAGTGAGCATCTTCAGATGCTGCAGACTGCCCTGAAGATATTAAGTTTCCAATGGATTCATCTCTTCAATGTAAATCCATCATCTGGCATAGCTAGTATTACCTGAGACTTGTTCTGGACTTGGAAAGTCTGCATGTCAAGTTGTAGGCAAAAGATTTCCAGGCAATCCTGCTTCTCCCCCCTATTCAATCAATAATAACACGAGAGCATAACAAGGTG